GGAAGAAGGTGGGATGGGTTTTCGGGATATGAAAGGCTTCAACAAAGCTCTGTTGGCAAAGCAACTGTGGTCATTGAGTCAACAGCCGGAGGCACTCATCTCAAAACTTTTGAGAGCAAAATATCACAAACAATGCACGATTTTGGAAGCTCGGCTGGGCGGCCAACCTAGCTATATTTGGCGGAGCATCATGGGCGCTCAAGAATTCTTATGCCAGGGCCTTCGATGGAGAGTTGGAAATGGTGCACAAGTCAGGATTTGGGGCGATAGTTGGCTGCCTGATGGGGAGGTCGCTTTCATTAATTCAGCCCCAAGAGTACTGCCGGTGGATGCCTTTGTTCGTGAGCTTATTGACCCGGTAACAGATCAATGGGATGCCGAGTTAGTTGGGCGATGCTTCCCGGCGGAGATTGCAGCAGTGGTATTGGCTATCCCTCTCCGGTCCAACAACGAGCAAGACCGGCTGATCTGGCGGCATAACTATCATGGTGGCTACACTGTACGAGATGGTTATAGCAAATGGCTGGACGATTTCAAGCAGAGGGAAGGAATAGTGGCGCAAGGTAACTCCGATTTTTGGAAAAAGGTCTGGAAGCTTAATGTTCCACCAAAGGTAAGGCATTTCCTTTGGAAATTCACTCGAGAAATTTTGCCGACGGGAGTGAGGGTTAATGCAAAGAATGACCAGCGCAGCGAGACATGCCCTTTTTGTAATGAGCCCGAGACCCAGAAGCACTATTTTCGTGAGTGTGCGTGGAGCTCCAGGATATGGCGGGCATCACCTTTCGCGGAGCTGTTCGAGATTCAGAACGTTGGGAACTGCTTGGAGTGGGTGGTTGAGGTTATGAAGGAGGCCAATCAGTCGAAAGTTGAAGGTTGGGCGATGCTCCGTGGGCATTGTGGAAGGAACGAAATGCGCAACTATTTAATGGCGCAAAGTGGCTGGAGCAAGAAATTGTCCTGAAATCCCAGAGTCTTTTAGAAGAGTACCAAATGCAGCAGCAACGAAATGACAATATACCTGCAAGTTCTGATCAAACGAAGTGGAGAAGACCACCAACAGGCTGGACAAAGGTCAATACAGATGCAGGGATGCTAGCAGGGGGAGGTTTCGGGCTGGGGGCGGTGATTCGTGACCACAATGGCAGGATAATAGCGGCGGCGGCAAAGAACATCAGAGGTAGCCACACAGTAGAGATGGCGGAGACTCTTGCAGCGGAGTTTGGAGTTCAAATTTCCAATCAATTGGACGTTCCCCGGGTCGCGCTTGAGGTAGACTCCCTGTGCCTTGTTCGACATATGCAGGAGGAGGGTGAGGCCATCTCCGAAATGGGGTGTCATTTGCCGAAACATCAAGAAGCTGTTGAGGAGACCAGGAAGTGCTGAAGGCGCCATCAGCCACATTCGACGAGAGGCAAATCAGGCGGCGCACATTATGGCCCATAGCAAGACCAATTGGGAGACGAGAGAAGTTTGGCTCGATAGAGCGCCTGTTTTTCTATTAGACCAGCTACGTCTGGATGATGTAGCCATTGACCTGATTTAATCTTCTTACAGGTCCCGTTCAAAAAAAAAAAGTAATTGGAACATAAAAAATTACTACCATCAGCTAGGTTGGTACACAATACTACAGCAAAATTTTGCCCCGTTTTGGTACATCCTTAAATTTTACTATTTGAAACAGTAGCACACTCACTAGTCATCTGTGCTTCAGACGCCGACGCCGATATTATCGGTTGAAGATATAGTATTGTTTTAGTAACATTGTAACAGTAGCACGCTGTCGTTAAAACGGCAAGATTGCACCGCTAAATATTATTCCTCTAACTTGTCCGTAATCATCTCAATTACGATTTTGCATGATGATTTTAGCCAAATTTATTTCAATTACTATTTGTGTTAGCAAACTGGACAAGAGAAGAGATATTTCCTCCAAACAAAACCAAAAAATAAGAAGAGAGAAGAGATGGATCTCTAGAGAGCTAGGCATGTACGTTGCATTTGTGATCCCCCCTTGTGATTAGCTGTACGAGTGAGAGTATTGGACGGGAGGGGGAATAATACTAGATCGTGAGCCAGACTCCAACCCCACTAATCAGCCACGATTCCATTTTTCTCACCTATCCTACAATTATTATTTTTATTACTATTATCATTATCATTAAACCTACTCGGTATCTCCTTCTCACCACTCTTTTTAAGGTTTTAGGCTGACAAGGACTTTCTTAACTGTTAATAAATAATTACGTGTTAATTACTAGCTATTTAGCTAATACCTACTAGTAACAACGAACAAGGAAGGTTCCTTGCGCCGGTGTATGTTGCTATTCCTTGGGACGTTACTGTCTGGGAAGGCTCTGTCAAAGGAGGTAGCAAAAAAAAACACAACTGGCGTGTGCATGCTATGCAAGTTAACCAGCTGGCCTGATCGCATTTTACCGCAAATTATAATATTTATTTATAATCCGTTTCGGGCTTAACTAGGATTATTTAACTACTTAATTTAATCGAATACTAAGGGAACAAAGACTGTGGACTTGGCTCGGGGCCCGTCGACCGCCGGCCCAAAACTATTGTTCTCTCCCTCGTCCTATTGCAAGTGACTCTAGTGCGACCATTGTAGAGATTGCCAAGTGCGATCTTCTGACTGCTTCCACCTTTGATGGCTGACGACGTTTACGTTGTTGAGAATGGGCCAAACCCAGTTTTGGGATGATTAGCTAGCATGCCAATTGCATTGCCACGCGTATGCGTACTATTAATTAATTTGAAGGAAACTCGGTACTAGAAGCATGGTACTTTGATTAATTAAAGAGGTTACCCTGAATTAATAATAATTAGTGGTTTTGATCGAATCTGCGTTGAAAAAATAATGATAATGCGCAGACGGCACCACAAACAAACAACTCCCCAGATCTGTTTCGCTCTGTTCGGTTCCCCGTGACCGTGACCACATATCCTATTCTCTTTTTCTTTCCAAAGTTTTGAATTTGTGATGATTCAACTTCATAGTATGTACTCAAAAAAAAAAAAAAACTTCATAGCCCAGCTCATGGTCAGCTTTGTAATTGGATCTAGCTTTACTGGCCCAGAGTTCAGATTGCATATTACAACTTTTGGGCCCACTGTGGCGGGCCTTCCCACAAGAGAGCCTGCTCCGGCTCTTGTTTTCCTTCTGCTCTGTTTTCACTATTTCAAGTTTCAACAGCAAACTTCAAACTCATCATCACTGACAATGAATCAACCGGCGACACTATGCCTGAACATGGCTTGGGATAGGGTCAGTACCCTATCAGTAACCACACGGGAGCCGTAGATCTGAGGGATGGAGCAATCGTGTAGTTGGCTGGACGCGGGGTGGGAAGGGGCATTTTTGTCCGTTTTGTATTTTTTATTTATTTATTCCGCATTTCAATGGCTGGTTTTTCAATAAAAGAGAGAGAATGACCTACTCTCTGCAACTCTACTTTCTTTCTTCTCTTTTCCTTCTCTCTTCCTTTTTCCCAATTTCAAGATCCTTTCTCTTTCTCTATTCCTTCTCTCTCACTTTTCTCTCACAATCTCCTTTTCAAATCAAGATCTGCTCTCTTCCATTTTCATTTTTTTTTCTCTAGCAATCGACGAATAAAAATTGAAGTCACCCTCTTTAATTGCGTTTCTTCTCTTCATCAACTCATTGGCTTTAATTTCGATCTTTCTCATTTTTTTGGCGTTTGGTGTTCTTTGGTTGCTGATGAAATGAGATGAGACATAAGACAAGTTTTTTTTCACTCCCTCCTTTTGTTTTTCCCCCTTTCTTTTAGGTAATATATATTAGTATTACCACACTATACCATATGGTATTATGTGGTAACGAAATATATATTGGTATTACCACTCTATACCATATGGTATTACCACTCTATACCATATGGTATTGGGTGGTAACGAAATATATATTGATATTACCACGCTATACCATATGGTATTGGGTGGTAACGAAATATATATTGGTATTACCACTCTATACCATATGGTATTACCACTCTATATCATATGGTATTTGGTGGTAACGAAATATATATTAATATTACCAAACTATACCATATGGTATTGGGTGGTAACGAAATATATATTGATATTACCACACTATACCATATGGTATTGGGTGGTAACGAAATATATATTGATATTACCACATTATACCATATGGTATTGGGTGGTAACGAAATATATATTCATGTGGCAAAAATTTTCATATCATATGGTATGCTCTTATTTAATACCAGTCAATACCATATGGTATAGACTGGTAATAACTGACAAATTTTTTTGTGTCCAAAAAATATCAAAGTGGATATCATTTTGAAGAGCACAATTAATCTGATCTAATTGTGCAAAAAAAATTAAATTTCGACTTAAAACGAGTGAGAAATCGTTCGTTAAAAAATTAAGAGAAGGAAAAAACAATGTTTTGCGAGGAGAGAGAATGAGGCGCTGATGTGGTCCGGTCAAAAGTCAGCATCAACTATAAATAGGAGTAAGTGCAATTTTACCGCACTGCCCTTTTCACATTTAATTTAAATAAAAAAGTGACTGACACGTGGGGACCAGAGAAGGGGTTACTGATGGGTTACTTCAGTTACTCACCCAATCTGCACCCCTGAACATTAAGTAGCAGGCACTAATCTCAACTAGGTTCGGGTTCGTTTCGGGTTTCATGTTTTTCGGTTTCGGGTTCGGTTTTGCTTATCGGTTTTTCAGGTTCCGGCTAAAAACCTCCAATGAATAGAACTCAGCCCGTATTTTTAGGCTTTCGGGTTTCGGTTTTGCTTTAACCGAACCCAAACCCGATAAGGAATTTTTGGGTTTCGGGTAACCGAAACCCGCAAGTCCTTATCAGGTTTGATTTTAGTGATTTTCGGTTTCGGTTTTATGGGTTTTTTCGGGTTTCGGTTTGGGTAACCGAACTCGACCCGAACTCGACCCGAACTGACACCCCGGCCCTAATCTCAACATAGCAACGACGAAGTTTGGTGACAGTTTTAGAATAGTAAAACATCTCATCAACATTACAACCACAAGCGCAGATACTCCGTCACAGTAATGAAAGAGCTTGCTGTCCATATATAAGTCATTCGGTTCCTCGTTGTTAATCAGCATATGAGTATTCCTTCCAACGAACCGAAATGCTGAACAAAATGACAGTGACAATGTCTACGACCCTACGACACCCAGCAGCGGTTGTCGCTGGCAACAGCGCAGCTAAATGACAATAAGATCATAGGCCCGGGGACAAAAATGACCTTGGTGCCGGTGGTACGTTGTGTTTTGTATCGCCCCGTTCACTGGGCGTACCTGAACGCCTACAACAGCTTTAGACCTCCTGTGACCTCATCTACTACCTCCACGGGTCCTGCACAATATAACTTACTCTGTTACTTCTACTGGGAAAGAAAAAGACCCCCCACAACCCAAAACAAATACAAACAGCTGCAATTAGCAAAAGGAAGCTGCCAAACCAGGCATCCATCCGTTTCCAGTACAGATCAAAGCCAAGAGCAAGCTGAGGTGAGTGTTCTTACCAAGGAGAGCCATCACAGTCCTAGAATCTGCCACAAAAATTGCTAACATGTTATTTCACATCCCACGCTGGTCTTAAATGATAACAAAACTGCAATAACTATCAAGGCAGGACACATATACAACAAGCGTCTATTCATATCTATCACAGAAGACGAAAGAAACAACATCTACTTCCTCCTCGATTTGATTAATTTTGCCCATCTACATCCCTTTCACCCAAGCTACCACCTCTGCAGCTAATATATCTCACTTGGATGAATAATTGGCTCATGAGCCTTTTGAAAGTAACCCCAAAGCGGCAAATACTTTCACTTTTGGTACATTGGGATGGTACTGCAAATGAACAAACCTACACACTGTATTTAATGTACCTAGGGATTGCTAAACAAAGAGAAAGTATGGAAGATAAGGGTCTGATTCGAGATAGTTGCCGGAACTAGCAGAAACAGTAGGCGGCTGCCTCTCCCATCAAAGACCAGAACTTTGTTTGAGATTTCACCCAGAAAAGGATTTTCAGAATCCTATCAAATAAATAAGTCAAAAGACTCTATAGTTCAATTCCAAACTGCCAAATTCTGTAGGAAAATCTCCTTCTATAAGAGTTACAAACTTCTGCAGCAAGAAACCTAATCCCATTCCAGTAATAAGTCCCAAGACAGCTTATAAAGGACTTCCTATGCAGACAAGGAAAGTGCAGATAACACCCCTAACTTGAAACATTTAAGATTCAAGCTGAAACAATGAAACAAGGAAAAATACATATATCAAAATAAACTAATGCGTATTGGCAATGGCACGATATATGGCACCTCTGTTCTCGGTGTAAATTTTGCAGTAGGCTGCACATGATAATGATAATGCTGGCATTTCAGCAAAGCTGAGTTGTTATAGATATCTATCAGCGTAACCCGTTGGGGCTGACTTACTAAGCAAACGAAGACAAGGGTTTACAAGGATGGAAGAAAGCTCTACGGGGAAAGTTTAAGATAATACTCTAGCATCATAAGAAAGTGAAGGAAAAAAATTTAACACAAACTGGTAAAAACAGAAGAAAGAAACAAGGTTTACTACTCACTTGGGGCAATCTGAGTCCTCCCTGCATCAATAGTTATGTGGCTAGGTATTTTCAGTGATTTAGCCTTCTCCTGCCAAATATATCTTTAGATTCCGGAACGAATTACAGAATCAATGGAACACATAACGAACACTGAAAGCTTATGAGGTACAGTAGGAAAGTCAGTCAAGTGCATGGTCTCAATGTTGGACTAGTGGACCTATAACTAACAGGAGAACGTACTCCACCAATCAAGTAGAAAAAACAGAAATAGCATTGCAGACTTAACTTAAATTACTAATCAGTCATTATGGAGTCTTGTAAAGAGAAGTAATCATAGAAAATAAGTTTACTCTCTGCAGACCTACCAGGATTCTGGATTTAATCATATTGACAACTCAACAAGAGAGCTCTAACAGTCAAAACTACTGCATGAGACCTCGGTCAATAAGCTGAAAAGCTATCTTCAGGTCTGACCTACTAAAGAGAAACAACAACCGGAAAGTGTCCAGGAATATCTTCAACTCTTATGCATCTATTGATTATCTATTAAACAAAATACAGATTTTATGACTATCAACAAATTTTGCCGGTTGTTTTTCATCTTCTGAATTTCCATGATCAGTTTCCCAGCCTTTTGGTGTGCTTTATCAAGCTGGCATGTCACACTAGCAGCAAGTGGTGACACGAAAGTGACCTGAACAACTAGAGCTCTAAGGTACTTGAATCCATTAGAGTAGCCAGTCTTATGGTTACAATCCAGTATCCACTCATACCCAGAAGAGACCGGGGCAGCAAATGATTAGTCATACTCATATAAAACAGAATGAAGGCAAAATGTAAATCAGCTTGTTATTGGAAGGCATATCGAGAGCATACTAACTTGCAAAAGAAGCATATCCTCCTCAGTGTCAATTTTGAGAACCACCTTTGGCTGTGCACACATCTCCCACCTGCAATTTTTTTAATGGAAATTCACGAGGTAGTCAAACGCGAAGAAGAGCAGAAAATGCGGAACAGACACCAGCCCTTCATAGCTTATGGTCGATACCTGTTCAAAGCCTTTGGTCCTCGGTTAAGCAGCTTCTTATAAAGTCCCAAAGTTGCATGACTAACCAAACGATGCAAAGAGTATCAGAAATCATAAATCACGATTGATTAACCAGGAGATATTCAATGATGAATTTCCAAACGCACATGCAAACTACATTCATTATAGAACATCAGCATTTAGGTGGGGTTCCAGTAAAGAGCATACCTACACTGTGCGGCGATTTTGCCTTTTCCCATCTTAAGATCATTCCGAACGACCAGAACCTGTAAACAAGCAACAAATGAAAATAAGAAAAGATATTAACATACCAACCAATTTTCAGGCCAACGAAAAGAGAGCGAGAGAGGTATACCATTTTGAAGTCTTCGAGAATATCTGCGAGCTTTTCAATCTCAAGGGGTTCCTTCGACTTGCGTTTGCCGGCGCTCTTACCACTGGAACCGTTACCCAGTTTCGGCCGGAGAAAGGCGAAAACATGGCGGCGAGAGCCAATGCAATAACCTAAAGCTACGCAGCCGGCACCCAGTAGCATGGAGGGGAGCCAACTCCAATCCATTACCTCCAATTAGCAGGCCTGGCTAATCTGGTCGTGGGGAAGGGAGCAGAAAATACTCTAGACGACCAGACCAGACGTGACCCTACAATCGCAAATTTCAACTCACGTCCCAACGGAGCACAAAGACGAAAGGCCTAACAAACAGAACACAAATGCTTGGGATCAATTCAAATGGAGAAGCGTACATTTCCTTGTTTCCATAGGTTCCGATCCTAGTTCATTTCAGTCTCTACTTACCTGTTACCAGCGGGTCAATGACATTACCAGCAGCCAGGCAGGAACAGATAATGAGTAACCTATCAGCACCAGAACTCAATCCTTCCGCTTGAGTTTCTTCCCTTCCACAGCTCGGGCTGAAAAACATTCGATCTATAAAGGAGAGTGCACTTGTTTTTCCTGTAAACTTGATTAGGGTTTGTTGTCCATCCCAAAACTCCGCGTCAATTCATATAATAAATATGGGTTAATTACCTAAACGGGCACATAACTTTGGATTATTAACAAACTAGTCAGTCAAGTCATGACACTCATGAACAAGGTTGTCAACCCGCGGGTTAACCCAGACCGGATCAAGCTAGTGGGTCAAGGGTTAACGGGTCACCCGTTTTAGTCCGGAAATATGGAAAGAGTTATTATATTATACTTATCCTGATAAATTATATCAAATCTCATCTAACATATGAGTAATAACATATAACATTACACCAAAGTAACATGTCGTACTTAGATCCAACATATAGTAAAAATTCACACACACTTATATAACATCAATATTCAAATGTTCAATTAAGGATTCCATATATTGAGTTAGGCGAAAAGAAAAATCAGAAAATAGGCGCATTTCGCAAACCAAAGAAAAAAATGACACAATTTGACCTCCAACCCGGTACCTTGCAGCGGTCGACCCGGCGAGTGCGTGCAGGCCATTTTTCTCACCGGGTCAAGGTCAAAGTGGGTTCGTGGGAAAAACGGCATGCACGCACCCGCTGGGTCGACCGCTACAAGGTACCGGGTTGGAGGTCAGATTGTGTCATTTTTTTCTTTAGTTTGCGAAATGCGCCTATTTTCCGATTCTTCTTTTCGTCTAACTCCATCTTTGGAATCCTAAGTTGAACATTTAAATATATATGTTATATAAGTGTGTGTGAATTTTCACTATATGTTGGATCTACGTACAACATGTTATTTTGGTGGAATATTATATGTTATAACTAATATGTTACATGAGATTTGATATAATTTATCATGATAAGTACAATATAATGACTCTTTCCATATTTTTGGGCTAAACCGGGTGACCCATTAACCCTTGACCCACTAGCTCAAACGGGTCCGGGTCAGCCCGCGGGTTGACAACATTGCTCATGAACCATGATTCATGAACCGTGACGTGAAATAACTAAACATAATATTTGTCTAAATATCACTTTTGATCACTCGAGTTATTAAATTGTTTCACCTTTGTCACAAAAAAAACGTATTGCATTAACGGTAACTAACTCTACATCTACGTTTTACTACTGCCCACCCTCCATTTAATTTCGTTAAAAATCCTACGTGGCAGCCAACAATACTACTTTGACAATTAACCTAATGATGTGTCATTAAAAAAATGTTTGTAATTTCTCATCTCATCTCTATCAAACTTGTGCCAACTTCCCACATAATGACGGAATCTCAAAATCCGTCGTCTTTAGCGCCTCCACTGACTTCCTTCTATCCTCCTCCACCGTGGAACATCCACTGACTTCTCACTACTGCAACAGTCGCTCGTCAATTGCACCCAGTTGGCCCTATCACGAATGAGTCTATAGAGTCGAGAGAAGCTACTTAAGGTCGGTGGAGGCATTCCGTAACGAGGACTCAACGAGGGCGTCGCGAGAGTAAGTGGGGGAGAATGTCACGTGTGGTGTTATGGAAGACCTAGTAGCTTAGGAGGCTCCTATGACTCCCCATCTTAGATGAGCTTAATGGTGCACATCAAGAGACACAATATGAGGTGGTATAATGGTGTGCATTATGGAGGAGACTTAATAGGTGTAGCAATGAGGACGTACCATTATGAGGGGGCATTGATGCCATGTATGAGGAGAGGCCTATATAAGGAGCCATCTCCCTCCCTTGTAACTCATTCCATCATTTGTGTGAGCAATACACCCTAGAGAGTTTCTCCCATTTTCTTGTGTCTTCTTCTTGTGAGTTTAGTGAGTTTAAGTATGTGAGAAGACTGACTTAGCGCCTTAGGGAAATTTGAGAGCTAAGGCCCTACGGTCAAGATTTGGAATCTGAGCATGGTTCTAAGAAAGAATCGGTGTTCTCACTCCCCGGGAAGAAAAAAGGGAAGAAAGAACTAGAGCCTCACAAAAAATGGCGGGATCGGAAGTTCACGATCAGCGGCGGATCTAGGGCTGGGCCACCCTGGACCACGGCCCAACCCTCTTATGGATCTAGAGCTACTATAATGCATATAAAATTTTTCGATTTGAGGTATTCGTCCCTATGTTATTTAAATGTCCGCCCAAAGCTATTTGATAATAGGATTTTGTGTAACTAGAAAAATGGTTAAGATGAACATATCCAAACCACTACTCTAAATTTAGACTAAATTTTTTAGCCCCATTGAAAAAACATTAAAACCTAAAATTTTAAAACGTAAAAGTATAAAAGCATAAAGTTTCATTGAAATAAAAAAATTCCTCTAAACTAAAACTCACCCTTCCCCACAAAACTCAAAAACAAGGAGGAGACGAACGGACCCGAAATGGATTCATACGCCGCCAGTCCGCCGGTCGCTGTTTTTCTTTCCAGTGTTTTGATTAATAAAATATTTACAAACTTGCTAAGTCATAATTTAGATTGCTTCAGTTGAGTAGTACACTAGATCCTAACCGGTCTTTCTGGTATTTTGATGAAAAAAAATATGTACAAACTTGCTCAAGAATTTAGATTTGAGACTTTGAAGGATATGAGATGTTTTCTTTGAAGAATGAGCTATGATATTATGCCACTCGTGTGAGAAAGATGAAGTTTCTTCCCTTGGAAAATTATTAGAAAAGCATGCAGAACCAAGGATGTACAAACAATACAAATTGATTTGTCAGTTGATTCGTCTAGTGTTGACCATTCCTGTTTCAACGGCTACCACGGAGAGAACATTTTCAGCAATGAAACACGTGAAAACTTATTTGCAGAACAAAATGAGAAATGAATTTCTTGTTGATTGCTTAGCTATTTCTCTGAGAGAGAGTATGCTATTGGTATAGATGAAGATTCTATTATTGATGGATTCGCTAAATTAAAAGACATTCTTGTACAATTGGCATTGTAATGAAAACTATAGTTATTATATATTTTTGTTTACGATATCTAATATTCTATTCAAATGCGGCCTAGTGCTCTACAGTTATCACGATGGTGATGATCAACGTGGTGGAAATGCCTCGAAGGGATCCAAGCAAAAGAGTGACAAGTCTAGCACCTGTGACCCCCTTAGCGGCTCTAGAGAAGTGCATCTCTATAGTGGAGGTAAATGTAGCCGATGATGTCACCATGGTGGAGGATTTGGGAGCTAACTTCACTCAAATTCAAGTTGATATTCAAGGTTTGGGGGCTCGGTTGATGAGCTTGGAGATCGACAATGATGGGCTTCGCGAAAAGCTTGTGACCCTCATCAACAACACCATCTCCACCTCCATGAACAATGCCAATTAAGTTATGAAGGAGACTGTTCGTGCCGAGGTTGCTAGCATGAAGGAGGAGGTTGAGGAGGTCAAGAGCGAGGGAACGCTTGTAAAGAAGGCCATGGCTAACGGATCTATCGCGGTATAACCTACCTTAACCATGGAGATTTCAAGACCGAAGAGATTTCGAGGGTCGAGGAATGCAAGGGCGTTAGAAAACTTCCTATGGAGCTTGGAGCAATACTTTCAAGCTTTGGGTATTCGAGTTGAGAATAGCAATGTAAAAACCACACCTCTTTATTGAAGTGATGTTGTTGTGTTGTGGTGGAGATGGAGCCAAGGCGATATCAATAAAGGGACGTGCGTGATGGAGTCATGGAGTGATTTCAAAAGGGAGATAAAGAGGCAATTCTACCCCGAGAACATTGAGTTTGAAGCCCGATCGAGACTGAGGAAGTTTTCTCACAAAGGAGAGATTCGAGGGTATATGAAGGATTTTTCTGAATTGTTGCTCGAGATCCCCGACTACACTGATAAGGAGGTCATGTTCACCTTCCTTGACGGCCTCCAACCATGGGAAAAGTTGGAGCTACAACGGCGAGGCGTACAAAGTCTTGTCGAGGCAATAGCGATTGTCGAGTACCACGAGTTGGAGGAGCACTGGGATCCCGAAGGCAATGGAGGTGGGCATGGACATGAAAAAGACACACGAAGGCATGGTAACATGGACCAAAGAGGTAATCGTAAGGCTGAGAAACCCCTTAATTGCTTTGCTTGTGATGGTATGCATCGTGTGAGAGATTGCCCAATGAAACACAAGTTGTTAGTCATGAGGGGCTCGAGCTCAGAAGAGGAAGAGGATGAGACTCTAATAGTGGAGCCCACGTCACAAAGATATTCTACATGAAGAGATTGAGTGCCATCAAGCGGACGAAAGGTCCTCCTCGCCCCAAGCGACATGCTCAATGCTTCATAGAGGCAAAGCTCGACCAAAGGAAGATGAAAGCCTTGATTGAAACCGAGGCAAGTTGCACCCTTCTCAACGCGGATGAAGCGTGGAGACTAGACATCACATACGAGAATGAGAAAAAGGGTGGATGGAGGCTACGAACTCAGGGGCCACAAGAACTGACGGAGTAGTGCGCCAGGTGCCACTCAAGTTTGGAGGATAGACCGGGGTGGCAGATTTTGAGGTTGTATCGTTGGATGACTATTAGGTCACCATTGGCATGGAGTTCATGGTGCGCTAGAAGGCTTTCACAATCCCCTACGCCAATAGATTCTACATCAAAGACGGAGCAAGATCGGCTCCCATGATAAGAGAGCAACCCAAGTCAAATAAGGGGTGTTTTGCAAGGCAAGGACAATTAGAAGGCACAACGATGGTGGAGGGAGGGGATCACTCAAAGACGCGTTGGAGAAGGACAAAAGATGAGGAGTGCGCAATATTGTGGAGACACGAGAGATGGGTCATCCTCGACTTGCCAAGAGGAGCAAGGAAAGGTCACCAAGATCGAGAAGGCTTGACACTCGAAGACGCGATGAAGAAGAATGTGAAGGAGTGTGTAGCATCATGGGAGCACAACATAAGGCTCGAGAGTGAGCCCGTGCCATTCTTGGCTTGGAGGAAAGCACAATGAGACCTTGCAAGTAGTGGATAAGGCATGGAAGGCATCTGACAAAGAGCCACGATAAGAGCGTCATATATTGAATGGAGTAGAATGTCACGACTGA